AAGAAAAGAAAAAAAAATCTGAGTGTTCATGTAAGAACTGATCTTAGTTTACAGTCTTTTAGAAACAGTTAACTTTGAATAATACATTCCTGAAATGTTGAACAGTCTGAGAAATAATTACCCTTCATGGAGAAAAATGACCTATCTTCTTTCATGTTTTTGTGTTGTCTTTGTTCCCATCCCTCTCATTAAATATGCAACCCAAGCATAAAGAAAACGTTTCTGGTAAGCATTTGAATAAGGTTCTTGGCAGTTCTGTTGTTAACTGATGATTCAAAGGCGGCTTCTTGGTTGTCAATGGAGAATGGTGGGTGAGCCAAGTCTAGAAGCAGCTGTCTCCTTCTGAAGCCCCACCGGAGATGATATAGCAGGCCCAGGCTCTGTCTGCATGAACCAGAGCATGCTTTTCATGTCCAAAGTGAAGCACAATCTCAGTTCCAGGAGCTTACATAATAGCATGGTGCTTTGCACCATGGTCCATACACCTCTACACAGAATGAAGACAGCTGCAAGTGCCATGGTCTTGCTGTCAGTAATTTTTCTGTGTTGATGCTTCACAGCAGCAGAGTAGATATACCTTTAATTCTGTTAATATGTTGGGAAAAAGTAGGTGCTGAAACTGACTATATCTATGCCATTTCCTAAGTGCCAAAGCCAGGTGGTGAGCCTATTGCCTGAATCAAGTACATGCTCTACCACTGCTGGTGTCTTTGTGGCAGGAGATGTAAGTGCCCTTCTGGAAAGAAACCCATGGGGATGTGATCCTGCTATCCAGCATGTGGCTGTCTGGTGAAACATGCTACGGTCATCCCATCACCAGCTGTAGTTTCACCCTGATGGGCAGCTAAACCTTGCGGTAACTGCTCTCATACTCCCTCTCTTCAAGAGAAGGAAGGCTGAAAATAAGATGAAAAAGGGCTCAAGGGTTGAGATAATGACAGGGAGGTCGGTCACCAATTACTGTTATGTGCAAAACAGAGTCAGCACAGGGAGATTAATATCAATTATTGCCTGATGATAACAGACTAGAACAGTGAGAACTAAAAGCAAACTAAAAATACTTTCTTTGCTATCCACTCTCCTTTACCTCCTGAACCCCGAGTAGTGTGGGAAAATGAGGAATGGAGGATGAGATCAATCCATAACACTTGATCTCCGCTGCTCCTCCATGGTCATTCCCTGCCTCTGCTCTTCATGGGTCCCTCTCATGGCATGCAGTCTGTCCCAAATTGATTCTGTGTGGGTTTCCCACAGGCTGCAGCTCTCCAAACACTGCTGCAGCATGGCTTTGTACCATGGGACTCACCTGTCAGGTATTGCTCCACGTGTCCCCTTGGATGGTAAATCCCTCAGTCCTCCTGCCCTACAACGGGCTGCTCTCCTCAGGCTGCGGCTCTGGCCTGGGGCTGTTCCTGTGGGGGTATCCATGGGCTATGCCTCCTTCGGGTCTCATCCACTTCTGCTCCATGGGCTTCTCCGTGGTTGAACTTGGAAATCCCTGCATGCTCCCTTTGCAACTCACTGGAACTGTAGCACATCCTGCTACCAAGAACTTGGCACAAAAACCTAGCATGCCACCGCAAGTAGCTCCTTATCTGAGTCCAGAAAAAAGTTATAGCCTGAGTTTTCCCATGTGAGCACAAGAATTTTTGCTCAGACAGTGAAAACAAGGGAAATCTGACCTTGAGACTTGCTTTAAATACACTGCAGATGCACCAACAGAGAGAACAGCAGGTTGACCAAAACCCAACTCCCCATAGCAAAATCAGTAAAAATTATTACTAGAAAGTTTGTTTAAATGTTGGAAATGAACTATGGTAAACACTGGATATTTCCTTATTTGTAGCTCAGCTACAGTGTAGAATGAGATAGGATTATTTCTTTGAGCTGAACATCGCTGTGGAGACCAGCTTCAGGGCAAGTGACTACTCTCCTACTGGCTGACCCAGAGACCGCAAGTTCAAACGTGGTCTCTACCAGATGGTGTGCTTGCTCCAAGATGACTGTGGTGATCCAGACGGAGGGACTACCCAGAATTGTGGTGGTTCAAGTCTCTGGCTGCAGGGAGTGCCGGAGCCTGCTGCTGCCAGGGGAGGATGGGAGGGATGCCACCTGCACGAGGTGCGAGCAGGTGTATGAGCTGCTCAGTCTTGTGGTGGAGCTCAGGGAGGAGGTAGAGAGGTTAAGAACCATTCGAGAGTGTGAGAGGGAGATAGACTGGTGGTGTAACTCTCTGCGAGAAACAAGCAGAGATTGCAACCCCCAGCCTGCAGTGGACCCTCTCCCTTGCTGTGGTCAAACCGAGAGAGCTGACTTGAGAGGAGAGGAGGAATGGCAGCAGGTCCCACCTCGGTGACGCAGGCGGCACCCATCCCGACTTACCTTGGTTCCTCAGGTGCCTCTACGTAATAGGTTTGAAACCCTGAAACTGGAGGGTGAGGAGGTTGAGAATGAGGTGAAGGAACAGCCTCCGAGCTTTCCTAAGGAGAGGCGGTCAGCTCCATGCTTGAAGACTCCCTCCTCCAGAAAAGAAAGGAGGGTGATAGTCATAGGTGATTCCCTTCTAAAAGGAACTGAGGGCCCAATATGTCGACCTGATCCCACCTGGAGGGAAGTGTGCTGCCTTCCTAGAGCCCGAGTCAAGGATATCTCTAGAAAGCTTCCTGGGCTTATTCGTCCATCTGACTACTACCCCTTATTGGTCGTTCAGGTTGGCAGTGATGATGCTGCTAAGAGAAGCCTGAGGGATATCAAAAATGACTTCAAGGGTCTGTGGAGGGTATTTGATGGTGCAGGAGTGCAGGTGGTCTTATCTTCTATCCTTCAGTGGCGGGGAAGGACACTGAGAGGATCAAAAAAATCCTTCTCATAAATAAATGGCTTAGAGGTTGGTGCAGGCACAAGAATTTTGGTTTTTTTGACCATGGGGCAATTTACTCGGCTCCTGGCATGACGGCTGCAGATGGAGCTCACTTGTCTGCAAGGGGTAAAAGGATCCTAGCCCAGGAGCTGGTGGGGCTCACTGAAAAGTCTTTAAACTAGGTAGGAAGGGGGAAGGGGACAAAATGAGGGCTGCTGAGGTTGTGCAGGTAGTTTGAGGTTCAAAAGATAACTTGATGGGTGATGAGGGTGGAGTTCGAAGGGATGGAGAGTGGCAGGGGAATGCTGCTTCCCTAAAGTGTCTGTACACTAATGCGTGCAGTATGGGTAATAAACAGGAAGAGTTGGAGATCTGTGTGTGGTTGCAAGGCCATGATCTCATTGCCATCACAGAGACGTGGTGGGACAGCTCGCATGACTGGAATGTTGTCATGGAGGGCTATGTGCTTTTTAGGAAAGATCGGCTGGCGAGGCGGAGTGGTGGAGTTGCTCTTTATGTAAGAGAGCAGCTAGAATGTATTGAACTCCACCTGGAGGAGAGTGGTGTAGCAGTGGAGAGCTTGTGGGTGAGAATCAAGGGGCGGGCTGGTATGGCTGACACTGTTGTGGGAGTGTACTACAGACCCCCTGATCAGGAGGAGGAGGTTGATGAGGCCTTCCATAAGCAACTGGAAGCAGCGTCACGATCCCAGGCACTGGTGCTTATGGGGGACTTCAATCCAGATATTTGCTGGATAAGCAAGGCACGTGCGGTCCAGACTGTTACTGCAATGTGTTGAGGACAACTTTCTGATGCAGGTGGTTGAGGAACCGACGAGGGGAGGGGTGTTGCTGGACCTTATTCTCACTAATAGAGAAGGGCTTGTCAGGGAAGTAAAGGTCGGGGGTAGCTTGGCTTGTAGTGACCACGAGATGGTGGAGTTCAAGATCCTGAGTGGAAGAACTAAAGCAAAAAGTAGGATTGCTACCCTGGACTTTAGGAGAGCCAACTTTGATCTCTTCCGGGACCTACTTGGAGCTATCCTGTGGGCTAGGGTGTTAGAAGGTAAGGGGGCCTGTGAGACCTGGTCAGCATTTAAACAGCTGTTCTTCTAAGCTCAGGATCAGTGCATCCTGTGAGCAAGAAATCAGGAAAGGGTGGCAGGAGACCTGTGTGGATGAGCAAGGAGCTCGTGTGCAAACTCAAAGGAAAGAAGAAGGCCCACAAAATGTGGAAAAAGGGTCTGACCACTTGGGAAGAATATAGAAATGTTGTCAGGGCCTGCAGGGATGCAGCAAGGAAAGCTAAAACCCGCCTGGAATTGAACCTGGCAAAGGTGATAAAGGATAATAAAAAAGGCTTTTTTAAGTATGTTAACAGTAAAAGGAAGACTAGGGAGTGTGTGGCTCCCCTGTGAAGTGATGGGGGTGTTCTGGTAACAGGGGATGCTGAGAAGGCAGAGCTACTGAATGCCTTCTTTGCTTCTGTCTTCAGTGAAAAAGCTCCCCCTTGGGAATCCGAGACCCTGGAGGTTAGTGAAAGGGTCTGGGTAATGAAAGACTTCCCCATAGTCAGCAAAGAGGTGGTCCGAGAGCGCCTAGGCAACACCAGTGTTCACAAATCCATGGGACCCGATGGGATGCATCCACGGGTGCCGAGGGAACTGGCAGAGGTGATTGCTGAACCACTCTTTGTCATCTTTGAGAGGTCTTGGAGAACGGGGGAGGTGCCTGAGGACTGGAGGATAGTCAGTGTCACTCCGGTCTTCAGAAATGGCAAGAAGGAAGATCCAGGCAATTATAGGCCAGTCAGCCTCACCTCTGTCCCTGGAAAGGTGATGGAGCAGCTTATGCTGGATGCCATCTCCAGACAACTGGAAGAAAAGGAGGTTATCAGTAGTCAGCATGGGTTCACCAGGGGGAGATCATGCTTGACCAACCTGGTAGCCTTCTATGATGTTGTCTCTGGCTGGGTGGACAGGGGGAAAGCAGTGGATGTAGTCTACCTTGATTTCAGCAAGGCATTTGATACTGTCTCCCACAGCATCCTTATAACAAAGCTGAGGAAGTGTGGGATAGATGAGTGGACAGTG